GATATGTGAGTCAGGGCAATGAAGCATCCATGGACAAACCAGTACATGGACAGGTTATTCCTGATCTCCAGCTCATTCCTGACACGAAGCAGTACTGCTTAACGAAATCAACTCGTGGAGTTTGCGCACGTGTTTTCATGAAATAAAAACAGACAAATGAGCATCATAGAGCATCCCTGTTGCACTTGTGGTGGGATGCAACAGCTATCTTGGTGTGCCCTGCCTGGAGTAGAGCGGGGTTTCTTTGGCTTTTGCCCAGTCTTGATATTTGTTTTGATCAACCTGTTGATTGTCCAACTCAATCTAAACAAGCTTATTTAACCTCCATCCACCTCCTCCTTCCAAACAGTGTAAGCAAAACAGAACACAACACGCAAGAGAACCTATTTCTGAAACACCGTCCTGATTTTGGCAAAGGAATTTGTTGGAGCTCGCGGTGAATAAGCAGCTTCATGTGGTAAGTCGATGGAATGACAGCCCATTTCTTGTCCGTGCCGTTGAAGATGTCGGGCAATCCGAAGGTGATGGCGTTGCGGCTAATGACCCCGCCCAGGTTCTTCTCCGCAATCATTTTTGCACCTTCGTCTGTTTCCAAATCCTCCACCAAAGAGAAGCCTTGTGTGGCTATGTTCGCCAGGTGAGCCCTCGCCGCTGCATTTTTCACACAGGAAGGCAGCCCGGGGCATAGCAGAACGGCAAAGGGGTCGAAAGCATCTTTCTTCCGAATGAGGCTATTTAAAGCCTGCTTGGTGGTGTAAATGTCGCCGCCGAAGATGTCGTAGAACATCTTTGACAAATCTTCGTCCATGCCCCAATCATCCTTCAGCATCTTCTTCATGTCGGACTGTGGCACTTCGCCAATGACAAGCAATTGTTGAATGCTGCTCAAGGCTAAGCCGTTTGCTAACAGCCGAAACGGATAGCTAAACTCCGAAGATATCATGGTCACACTTGCTCGAGGTGTCTGCTTGGTCCACTTCGTGATGGCTTGTAGAGCTGATCCAGCTAGACCGCGTCCATCTTCAGCCACTATTCCAGGTATTGCAAGGTTTGCTTCATCGACGATGATGCACGGGACCTTCTTGCTCCGGGAGATAAAGTTGTCGATGCGAATTTGATGACGTGATACTGCGGCATCCAACACTTCCTTAGCTGCCACTCCAGCTCCACTAAATCCATTGATTCTCTTCAGGGCGTAGTCGACAGGGANNCAATATCTCCACCGAGAGACGTGCCCACCCAAGGGATTTCTGCCGTTGCAAGTCGAGTGCCGTCATCAGATCCTTGCCCAGCATGTCTGCATCCCGCATGTCGACCGACACCATGTTCACATTTGCTTTGCATCTGGCAATAGCTGCTTCCTTGAGCAACGTCTTGCCCAAGTTTCTACCCCCGAGCACAAGACAAAGCGTACCTCTTACTGTCATCTGTTCACTAAGGTTGGCAATAGCAGCCTCGCGATCTACTGCATCTCTTTTCTCCAGAAACGCTGTGGCAGTAGAGTTGATTTTTTGGAGGTATGAACCTGTCGTACACTTGGCTGCATCGGCTGCATTGCTGGCAACTTGCCAAAAGCTCACGCTCTTCAGCGAAAGGCGGAGGCGTTGCGGGCTCACTCGGTACAACCCCACACGTGGCGATGCAACAAAGCACCCCACACCAGAGGCGAGGAGCATGCACCAAAATGCACCCCACCCATGGCGTTGCCTACCATTTCTCATGGATGCTACATCGGCTTCAACAAATAATGACAACAAGTCATGTGAAAGTCTACCGTGATCTTTGAATAGCTGACTTTTGCTTCGAGGCTGCCGTAAAGGTTGATCATGTTAGGTCTCTGAACGTCTTTACACATCTCTGTGTGCATGTCTGTGTCAAGTGCCTGCTCTGCCGGGAACTAAGTTTGACACTGCATTGATACCACTGCTAGTGTGCACAATATGTTCCTTGACTGGAATGCAAATTCCAGTGAAAAAACAATGAACACTGCAACGTCTAAGGCTTACAGTTGTCTGTGGAAATTATCCTTCACTTGGGGCTTGAAAAGAAGGGGCGACACACGCAGAAAACCAAAACGTTTGTAAATCAAACCCAACATTGGCTTTTAACATCTACGGGGTTTGGAATTGACGTAATGCAATCCAGGCGGTCTGGAAATGAAATTTGGCGGCTTTGGACATGACATCCAAATGGCTTGGAAACAAATCCATTTGGAAACGAAACCTTGGGAAACGAAACATGTTTTCAGGCAGGTCAATGTTATTTCAGTCCAACTTTGCTGCTCCATTCCAAATTCAGTTGCTCCATTCGGATGCGGAGTGCGCTGGTGTGTGTATCCCAAACTCGCGCAACAACAGAAAATACAGGTGGAAACGTTGAGGAAAACATCGGTAACCCCAAAGGGTGCAGAACAAAACAAGCATTTCCCCGAAAACACGCAGGACGCGTAGCTGTCAACTGGTTTTTAAATGCAGCGCTGCAGATGGAAAACATAACTGGCTCGGTGGAAAGATCACGCACAGCTGGGAAAATCGGTCACCGATTTTGGGGAAGTCTGTCACCGACTTTGGAAATCAGCTGTCGGCTTTTGGTTTAAAGCTACTCTGCCAACTCCCTGAAACTAAAAAGGTAAAAAATAAAACACTCACAAGGCTCGCAACACTCGCACTTTGGCTTGGAGGTGCTACGGGCAAAGTTGCAGTCCCCCACCAGGCGACACAAAGGATTGCAACCAACCCCCCTTTAGTGCTCGAGCAACCCCGAATGCTTCGAAATTAAGCGGGCAGGGTTGCGCCTTCGCAAGCGTCTTCATGGTTAATGCACTAGACAACTACTGCAAGTGCTGAAAGTACATTGCCCACATTCCGGCAGATGGTCCTTTTACCGCGTCCATCTCGCCAGGGGAGGGTGCAACTGGATAAGGCTTCCCGCGTGTGTCGACCCATCCTAAACCCTCCCCGACCACGTTCCGGGGCTGGCTGGCACCGATTCGACAGGGGAGGTGCGATTCGGCCGAAACCGTGCTCAAAACGTAGGCGGGGGACAGCCCGAAATTGGAGACGGACCGCGGCGTGGTCGGCTCGCAAAACGGTCGGCTGCCGGGGGCCGCCGGGGCACGATCCCGGCGGGCGGGCCCAAAATCAAAAAAAAGTGGGGTTTGGCATGGTGTTTTAGGGTCATGGGCGATTGGGGTGCGAAATGTCGGCAATGTCGCTCCCTTCAACACAGGCGGGATCTGTGTTGAGCCCTGTGTTGAAAACGAAATGCCGGCAATGTCGCTCCCTTCAACGCAGGTGGGACCTGCGTTAAGCCCTGTGTTGAAAACCGACAAAAAAAGCATCAGCTTCAACATAGGCGGGACCGACGTTGTGCCCGATGTTGAAACATGTGGTGTGTTAAGAAAAAAAAGCATGGAATCGGCGTGCCGGAACGCAGCGGAGGAACCCACCGAAGCCAATCTCGTGCGGCTGCTGGACCTGTGGTCGGCGGACTGGAAGCACCGGGGCCGCACCCGGGCGGTGGGGCCGGGGGCGTACGAAAGGTACGCAACGCTGGGGCTGTTCGGGCATGGCGGCGTGGTCGGGGTGTCCAACGCCACCGGCCTGCGGGAGGCCTGCGCTGCCGTCAACGCCTTTCTCCGCAGCCGCTTCCCGAGCGGCACCTGGACCTCGATCGCCGTGCTTTTCAATCCCCGCATGGGCCTGCACCGCGACATTCAGAACATGCCCGGGCACTCAAATCATGCCCTGGCCC